GCTATTATTACTCGTAAAATAATTGTTAGTGCTTTCCAGAGTCGAAGTGAAGGTCATTCAGATGGTGAAGCGTCTGGTACATGGGACAAGACTCCTGGTGGAGAAGAAAAAATCCACGACCGAACAGGAAATGATAATTCATTATCCCATCTCATTAGCTAAAAGTGTACAGTACTTCAGTTAGGCAGAAAACGCTTGCACACTAACATCTTTACCACATTGGTTGTCATTTCTTCATTTCAAAGATGAACTAAAGAACTAAGATAAAATACACATCTTTACCACATTGGTTGTCATTTCTTCATTTCAAAGATGAACTAAAGAACTAAGATAAAATACATCCCATGAACACGACGGAATTAGAAAATGACTTTTAAGGTCTCTTCATCACAGCGGGGAATGGTGATATTTTAAACCTTAATTAAATACAAGATCACTGATTTTATTGTATTTGCACCTACAATCAAATCACAAGAACTCAGTGCTCAGTGTAGTGCATTTTTTAATATTCAAATAATTTATAGAACAAGTTAAATATAATACAGCGATAAGAAAAAAACATTTCATATGATGGCATTCTGATGTTTTTCACAAGACCATAACAAGCTTAAAGCTGAAAGAGCATAGATATTTATAAATATAATATAATGTTGTGCTTTAAATTCAGAAAAAGTACAACAAACAATGTAACAACAGCAAAAATTGAAAGCAAATACTCAAATACAGTTCATTGAAGAGCATTCGAACCCTAGACCATAGGAAGTATAAACACGAAGAGAGAATGTTCATGAATCTTGTTGTGTAAAACTAGACTGCACACATCGACTTGTCCTTTTCATTAATAAAAATAAGTTGCTAGCTGAAAGCAGAGTCTGCTCAGATTTTTGCACAAGTAAGCAGGGGACAAAATATTAATTGTAAGCATGCTCAAGAGCTGAATACTATAGGCTGACCATAATATAGAGGATAAAGCTGTTTTTATGAACAACTTTCGATTGCGTTTGAGTCAAACATTAGGATTTTGAAACTGAGATTATAATTCCAGGTAATACCCCCCCCCCCCAATTCATAGCAGCAAGGGGTGGGGTGCTTATATTCTTTATTAAATCTGGCTCATTGATGAAATAGCAAAGATATAGAGAAAATGCTGCGCATTAATAGGGATTGGACGCGGATCATTTTCTGTACTGTTAAAATAAATTAATACTTATTTAGCGTTGAATTGGGAATAAATTGGTGAAATGTATCAAAATTCATTCTTAAAAAAGAGTTTTACTTTTTTGACAGGTTGCTTAAAGAGTTTAAGGTGTTCGCCTCTCATTCAAAGGTCCTGGGTTCGAATCCGGGTAGCGACAGAAAAATTTTCTTCTCTGAAATTGTCTCCTTTCACCTCCTTTCTTACTCTCCATCAATATTTGCTTTCGTCTCCAATTTCTGCCTCCACCCCCTCACCTCCTTTGCCCCCTCCTTTGGGCTTCTGACTCTTTCTGCAGCCTTTGTACTGCTTCTCCTTGGCTCCTTCTTATAGCTGTCTTTCCGCCACACCCCTGATCTTCTGGTAGGAAAGATCTACATCTAGCCTTCTCGGACAAGGGAAAAAAATCTCAGAGGTCCTGTGTGCAAGTTACACATATTAAAAATCCCTTGGTGGTCGAAAATCGATAAGAGTAGGCTTCGGCCACCACCTGGGCAAAATTAAAAATTTCCTACCAGCTGAAAATGTTTGGTGTGTCTCGCACGCTCAAATGACCTTATATGCAGTTGCGAGCGCCGTAAAACAGGGTCAATAAAACGGTTTTGTACGTTAGTTAACCTGTCAGCCAGAACTTAAACTCAATACAAAAAACAAACAAACAAAAAAAAATCTATTCAGGAAAACAAACATTCAGTTCTTAAAAAGTTCCCTTTGTTACACAAAAGAAATAAGGATGAATTAGAAATTTATAGTATAGTGTGTGTGTGTGTGTGTGTGTGTGTGTGTGTGTGTGTGTGAGTGAGTGTGTGTGTGTGTGTGTGTGTGTGTGCATGTGTGTGTGTGCCCATGTGCATGCACGTCTGCATGTGCTTGTGTGTCATTGTGGTTAAATCAGGGGCTTGTCAAAACAATGAAATTGAAGAAACCGTAATTTTTCTACCCATTGAGCAATTGTCCTTGGAATTTTTTTTTTTGCTCATCACTTTTTACACCCATTTTAAAAGCACATTTCAATGTAGATTTTACTGAAAAACGTTGATAAAAAGCACAAAATATTAATGAAAGTTTGCAGTTTCCACGGACACTTGAACCATGGAAGTCACCAAGCTTTGGGCAGCCATTTTCTTGCTAATTTATATCTCTGATACAAGGTGATACCCACTTCTTTCAATTGGAAATATCTTGACTTCTATTCAAGATACTTGGATATCTTAAAAATCAAAAGCCAGACAAATGAACAGCTATTAAAAGGATTGTAATGACTACATAATATACCCACAAATTGACGAGTACCTGATTCACCATGTCGTGACACATATGAACAGCTCAAGATGTGACAGAGCAAAAAATTCTGTAAGAACTAGAACTCAACACTTTTCATCCACAAAGCGCGCAGAGCGCACAACATTTGTCCCCACGGACCAGGATGCAGATTGGCTACATCAGTACTACACCTGCATCTTGGCAAAAATACCCCAACTTTTATGAAAATTTCAGCATACTGAGAAAAAGTGTGAGGAGCATGGACAAGGACAAGAAGCAAGCAATGGCTCCCACAGATGAAAAAAGATGGAAAAAAAAGACTAGAAATAGCTTGTGTAATGACGTGCAGTAAAATAATAAAATTCACATCTCATAGAGAGGCAAGGAAAGATAATTTTTGTTATAAGATTTGAGTTTCATCCACTGGGACTAAACACATAAATCTTGACTTTTCTGTTTTCTTTAATCGACTCATTATAAAACTGAAGTGTGCTATATTTTAACAAAGATGGAATTGTATGTTTAAAAAAGAAGTAGAATACAGATACAGCCTTTGACAAAATCTTGACCAAGAACCAGAACAAACAGTTTACCAATATAATAATCAGTCAAACAGTTGTCCATTCTGTCTGCTCCAGGAAAAGAGACAAACTCCATAATCAGAAATGTTGACAAATGGAAGAAAACTTGGTTGGCATGACCATGTGAAAGTAAAGACACAAAGATAGTTTTAGTTAGTGTTTTACGGCACTAGCAACACAATAAGGTCATATAAGTGTCGAAGATTAGAGGTGTTACAAGAGAGTAACAAACATAAAAAACAAGGAGGGGAGATAGAGACGATGGATTTTTTACAGGAACGAAGGAGCAAACCACCCAGAAAAACCCGCCAACCACCCACAGACACACTGAAGCAAAGAAAACATAATAACATGTTGTAGACAGAAACATAAGAGCTTCTTCACAGCATGCGTTTTCTCTCAGTCTGACACAATAGACGAAACAGTGACAAAAAAATGAGGAGAAGAAAACAATGTGTGTCTATTTCTTGTGTGTATGTTTTCCCATGTTTGCTATCTGAGGCTTTTGGTCTATTGTCAGTGGGCTATATCTTGTGTGTATGTTTTCCCATGTTTGCTATCTGAGGCTTTTGGTCTATTGTCAGTGGGCTATATCTAAGACCCCATTCCAGAGGAGCATTAGGTGGAGGGAGATGTACAAGGAACCACAAAACTCTGCAATGAAAATGACCCGAGTGAGGTCAGACTAATAATTATACATAATAACTAGCATTTGTATAGGTCATAACCCCGCTCTGCAGCAAGGTCTACATGCTTTACACTATAATATTATTACCCCAGCAGACCCAGAAACATTCTTAGCTTCCTGGGAAACATACAGTGCAAGCAGCTGATTAAGCGCTCAAACACTAACAAACTGACAAGATCTTTCACTGTTTCCTATCTATTCACGTGAAACGTAATAATTGTATTCCACAAAGCAACTCAAAAGATAACTTCAATTCATTTTTACACAGATTTTTCTTTGCAAATAAAGAGTTGTCCATTGAACAGAGAAAAACACAAAAAAAGTCATACATTTCAAATCAATAACACTTGAACCACAAAAAACAATTCTGAACAAAATACGTACAATTAATATAACTGAACTAATGATGTAAACATCCTGCAAAAAACATGAACTCATTCAATTATAAGAGCAATAAATAATTCAGATGAGTACATGTAGAAATGTCATTCACAATTTGTCCTAGTAGAAGAAGGTACAAAAGAGTAATCATGGCAACTTCTATTTATATATCACAGACTCTTTATCTGATAAATGAGGAAAAATACAGACATACATTGTACACCTTAGCTTACATACTTTTTTGGCATTTCTTAAATCAAGTGCAAGTAAAATTTGGCCTAGATCTATCTGACAACAGATCTGAGAGAAAGCAAACGTCACAAGCCAATAACAAAGAAGCTGGTCCCAAATGAGCTACATGGGAGGTTTCCAAAAGCTACTGTGTTTGTCTAATCACAGAACACGTGATCTCTACATCATATAGAAACACCTGTTTATCAACAAAAGAAGGAAAAGTAAAATCCAAAGTTTCCCTGACCATTCTGATTCACACCTGATATCATCTATAATTATAAGGTACAAAGATGGACAAGAGTAAAGTATAACTCACCCCAGCCCAACCTCTCCCTCCTCTTCATTACCCCATTTGAACTGTTTGACTTTGTGTATGGCATCTGTGGTCACAGTGGGATTTTTTTTGTTGTCGAAATAAGAATGAGTCATGTGTGATCATCATGATGCACAAAGATTATATAGAGTTTGGGGGGGGGGGGGGGGGGGA